TCTCATGTTTATAGAGGGAGACCCCTTGGGCCAATTTGGCATCAGCCAAGTTGAAGATGAGTGGAGGATTTTCTCAAGGAAGACCCTGGACCGTGAGCACATAGCCAAATACTTGCTCAGAATCACAGCTTCTGATGGCAAGTTCCAGGCTTCGGTCACTGTGGAGATCTTTGTCCTGGACATCAATGATAACAGCCCACAGTGCTCACAGGTAAGAGCTTGGTGAGGGGTGGGGTAGGGGTGAAGGCAAGGAGGTTGGAGGGCAAGAGGAAGGAGAAGGACTCAGGGAACCGTCTCTGAGGCTGGCCATCATTGACCACACCTGCCCTTACTTCTTCCCAGCTGGCCTCAGACTAGTGCATAGGGCAAGGATCATGCTACATAACTCTTTGGCCTCCCCATAAGGATGTCACCAAGCTCTTCAGGACCTATGATCCATATCCCTCGCCCTACACTCCCTACAAAAAGCCATTTCTCTACAAAACATACCCAGAAGTAAGTTAACTTCTTCATTCTCCAAACACAGTCTGCCATGAACAATGGAAAACCCCCTCTATGGCTCAGCTTATCAGCAAGGATCATTATTATCATATACATCCTTAGAGACCTGCCCCCAGAGACACCTGCACTGCCCCCCATGCCCATATATGTATATTACCCACATATTACCCACATCTGCATGGGTAATACAGACCAATATAGATACCCTCCTCCAGGTTATATGTATTCACAAACATGCAGACAGGGCAGTTACATTTTTGATAAGGGATATTTCCCTGAGGGCCTCATATAATTCAACCCTAAATTTCCCATGGTGTGTGTGTGTGTGTGTGTGTGTGTGTGTGTGTGTGTCTATGTGTCCATCTCTCCTCTCCAATCTCTCTCTCTGCTTCTGTTTCCCCTCTCTCTGTCACTTTGCCTCTGTCTAGACCTAAGTGTATCTCCCACAATTTCCCTATTCTTTATCTTCCATCTCCAGCTTCTCTATACCGGCAAAGTCAATGAAGATATATCTCCAGGACACTTCATTTTGAAAGTTTCTGCAACAGACTTGGACTCTGATACCAATGCTCAGATCACGTATTCTCTGCATGGTCCCGGAGCAGATGAATTTAAACTAGATCCTCATACAGGTGGGTTTCCTGAGCTACAGGACTGAGCCAAGAACTTATTTACTGACTACCAAGTGCCCAGGACTATGGTAGGCTCCGTGGGGGAAGAAACAGGAAGTCACGTATCCATCCATCCATCCATCCATCCATCCATCCATCCATCCATCCATCCATCCATGTATCCATCCACTCAGCAAACATATATTGGCACTATGTGCTGAATATTGCACTAGATGCTGGGGACATAATCAATAGCCTCATAAGACAAGATCTGGGTCTTTATAATCTAGTGCAGTCATTTAATCAATGGTTTGAAATGTGGCTGAGTTAAGAAAAACATGCAGGGTTTTAAGGGAAGTTTTAATGGGAGAATTTGTGTACGCTTGGGAGTGGGGTTAAGTAAAACCTCTCTGATGAAAGGCCATTTTATGTGAGACTTAAGAACATATCGGAGTTAGCCAGGGGATAAAGGAGTAGTAAGTAGTAGGAACAAACATTCAAGGCAGAAGGAGAATCTATACAAGGATCTTGTTTTAGAAAAGAGCGTGCACATCAGGACCTGATGGAGGGCCAGAAACTGGTGCACAGAAGGGGAGGAGAGAGAGCAGAGGATGAGACTCTCAGGTCAGGAGGGCCAAATCCCACCTTTAGATCCATTGAATGATTTAGGCAGGTGAGATCAAGGTCAAAGATAGGATCTCAACATGGGTATGCTGCAGGCTGGGGATAAAACTTTATAGTATTGTTGTAAGGATCAGAGATGAAGTATGTGGAAGCCTAGCCCAGGTCTGGCACATAATAAGAGTTCAATAGATGCGGTTGCCATTGTCATTATCATTAGTTAGGGGACAAAGCATGAGAGGAAAGCACAGAGCCCTGCAGGATAGACCGCGAATACCTGGGAGAGGTTGGGCTGTGAGAGTCTGGTGAAGACAGGGTGGGTCTGCTTCCTTTGGAAGAACAGCCCAAGTGGTGGGATCCCTGTCCTGCTGCTGTAGGGGAGGGTGTGGAGATGGGCAGCACAGAAAGCCCCTGTAATGGGGGGCTAGCTGCCAACTTGGCTTGGAACCCAGGAGCCTTGGAGATTCCTGAGTAGGGAGGTGGCAGGTGAGAGTGGTGTCCCAGGAAGCTGTCTGGATAGACAGGAGACAACATTGTCCTTCCTGCCCCCAGTGTGGACATGCTGAGTCACCCCAGGTGGGTTACCTGATCTCTCTCTGCTATTGTTTGTTCAGCTGCATGATGATCAGTGAGGTCTTAAAAAAATGGGTGGTTTTTCTGAATATGGAAATAATACAACATTGTAGAAAAATTCAAACAATATAGTTATATATTATGTAGAAATAATAACAAGCCCCTCTCCCCCAAAGATAAGCACTCAGTGTATATTCTACCAGACTGGTTTTCCCATGCATCTCCAAAATATCTATATAGAATATTATTTTGTGACTTGCTTTTTTTCACATAACAATATCTTGGAGAAATTAGCAAGGCAGTACATAAAGCTCTATTATAATTATTTTTGTTTGTATAGTGTTTTACTGTATGGCTAAATATAATACATTTAACCAGTCCTTTTGAAAAAAAACATACAGGATATATTCAGTATGTTGCTATTATAAGCAATGCTGTAGAGAATATCTTTATTGGGTTGATTATTCTATAGGATATATTCCTAGAAGTGAAATTGTGGGCCATAGGATAAACATATTTTATGTGTTGTTAGAAATTGCTCAGTAGCCCTTTAAAAATGTTGTGCTTCTTTGTAGTTTGTTGGTGTGGATCTCAAACTGGTGATGTGATGCTGGAGTGTGTTTGGGAGAATTAGGGAATTGAGTGGGCGGGAGGAGGGGGCGGAGAATATAGGCAGAGCTGCTTTCCTAACCATACATACACAGGACTGACTTCTTTTCTCTGGGACAAAACTCTGTGTGGCTGGCATAGATATCTAGAAGGCACATGCTGGGGTCATGTCCCTCAGGGAAGCCTCACCTGTTGTCATTTCTCTGACTAGGAGAGCTGACCACACTCACAGCCCTAGACCGAGAGAGGAAGGATATGTACAGCCTTGTTGCCAAGGCAACGGACGGAGGGGGCCAATCCTGTCAGGCAGATGTGACCCTCCACGTGGAGGACGTGAATGACAACGCCCCCCGTTTCTTCCCCAGCCACTGTGCTGTGGCTGTCTTCGACAACACCACAGTTCAGACCCCCGTGGCGGTGGTATTGGCCCGAGATCCTGACCAAGGTGAGAACAAGGATTGACTGGAAGCTATTTGCTCACAGGGTCATTTTGGGCAAGGGTTTGGCTCTGTGTGTTGCTCTGGGACTGGTAAGGACTGTGCCTCCTCGCTGAGTCTACAGACACAAGTGGAAAATGGCTGTCCACAAACTACACACCTACGTGCCATGTGACAAAAGATTTTGGCAATGTTTTGAGGTACATGTAGGGCATTTCAGCCTCATTGTTTCTCATTGCCACTTAGACCTGGAGCCCTTTCAATCCTGCCATTTAACCTCAAGGACATTTTGAACATAAACATTTAATCTGAAATACACCAATCAGAATTATTCAACTCTGATTAATTTGCCACAAGAAAGGAATTTTTGGCACAAACTCCGTTTAGCATATTACATTCCTTGATCAATTTTCTATACAACAAAGTGGAATCATTTTCAATAGTGTATATTTTTATTTTATTGACATCATTTTCATTAGGGTTATTTTCCTCTTAAAATTTATAAGGCAAATTGGATTCATCCAGGAATATTTGTTCTATATTATACCAATGATATCTTCTGGCAACACTAAGTATTTTATTGTGGATACACACACACACACACACTTACATGCACTCTCACACACACTCACATACACACACACACACGACATGTGTGTGTGTGTGTGTGTGTGTGTGTGTGTGTGTGTGTCCAGTTTTCTTGAGTCAAATTTTATAATTGAGGTAGGGTTAAAAATGCCCTAGATCAAAGTAGCCAGATCAACAGAAGATATGACAACGATGATGGTGATGATGATGATGATGGTGGTAAAAGTGGGATTCAAACAGCCTGCTTTGTTTGACACCAGCAGAGTAAATTTAAGACTTTCTAGAGGAAGTGAGTTTTAGCTTAGCAATGAAGAATGTGAGAGGTTTTGGAGGGATGCAGGGGTTCTAGGATGCACGAGGACAAACAGTACAAAAGCATGTAATGACTACAAGGCCCTGTAAATGCTCAATAAGCCAGTGCTTGCTCACCTCCAGGATAGGAAGCTCCCTACTTCCTAGGCAGATCGTTCCTTCCAGGGCACCTTGGATAGTTATCAAGTGCTGCCTATTTAGAGCTGACAACCACCAGTCCTAGCCCTGCCTTCTGCTGCCACACAGATCTCCTACACCCTTGCCCATGATGACCCTTCAGAAACTGGGACATGATGACTATCTGCTCCCAGCCCCAACCTTCCCTTTTGGGGTGGAGGAACCCCAAGTGTCTTCCAATCCTGCCTCCCTTCTAGCACACAGCGTCTGACCTTGCACCAGTTTACCACTAACCCTTCAAACGCCCTCGGTCTCTCCCTCAGGCACCAATGCCCAGGTAGTGTACTCTCTGACGGACTCTGCGGAAGGCCACTTCTCCATCGAGGCCACCACAGGCGTGATTCGGCTGGAGAAGCCGCTGCGGATCAGGCCGCAGGCGGCACTGCAGCTCACCGTCCGTGCCTCGGACCTGGGCACCCCAATCCCGCTGTCCACACTGGGCACCGTCACGGTCTCTGTGGTGGGCCTGGAAGACTACCTGCCCGTGTTCCTGAACACCGAGCACAGCGTGCAGGTGCCCGAGGACGCCCCGCTTGGCACAGAGGTGCTACAGCTGGCCACCCTCACGCGCCCGGGTGCCGAGAAGACCGGCTACCGCATGGTCAGTGGGAACGAACAGGGGAGGTTCCGCCTGGATGCCCGCACAGGTGAGCCAGCGCCTGAAGCAGCCCCTGCCCCCCAATCCCGTATGCGCGTGCACGTGAGCGCGCGCGCGCACACACACACACACACACACACACACACACAGGGTCTTGAGGAACTTTGGGTTCCTCACATACGGGGTGTGTCTGCCCCACGAAGCGCCTCCCGGGCCGACTTCCTTTGGCCCTTTCCTCACTCTGTATCTCTCCAGGTCCCTTCTGCACCCTGGGGCCAGCTTATGTGGGAACCACTCTTATTTTACCACGTCCCCATCCAAGACCCGCGGCAACCCACTCTCCTCCCACAGTTGCAGCCTCAAGGTCTCCGCTCAGGTCCAGCGGAAGCAGGCTGAGGCCACCCTCCATCCTCGGCGGCACAGACAGAAGCATTTACTAGAATGTGGGGCTTAAGCAGCCCCAGGACAAGGCAGCCTGCGTCTCTCCAGAGCCCTCCCCAAATATCCTGGTACCCCTGAATTTACCCTTATCCTAATGAAGACAGGGAGAGAACTCGGAAACCTTCTCTCTTCTTTCCTCCCACCCACAGAAGAGTCTAAGTCAAACTCACAGAACCTCATGGAAGGGCCCCAGAGGCTCCCAGGTTAGACCACGGTCCCATGCGGAGTCATCCCCACAATATCCCTGCTCTCTGCCTCAGAAAGCATCCCTCTTATATATATTTTTTTAAAGTTTGTATTATGGAGAATTTAAACATGTAAAAAATAGAAAGAACAATATAAACCACCTGTTCCCATCACCCAGCTTAAGGAATTATCCACAGACCAATCTGGTTTCATCTTTACCTGTTACCCTCCCACATCCACCCACTGCTGAGTTATTTTATAGCAAATCCCAGACATCATATCATATTGTTTCTAAGTACTTCAGTGTGTATCTCTAAATGATAAGGACTCCTTTTATAAAAACTACCACAATAACTATTATCACACTCAAAAGATAATAATTCCTTAATATTGTCTAATACCTAGCCAGGTAACTTTTCAGGTTATCTTATCAATGTCTTTTTGGAGTTGGTTTGTCAGCATCCCCCAAATGTCTACTTACTGCATTGGGTTTATATGCAACATCTTAAGTCTCTTTCAATCTCTAATATTTTTCTTTCCCTCTTTATTCCCTCTGTCATTTATTTAATGAAAAACTTGGGTCATCTGTTGGGGAGAAATGTTTGTATTTTAGATTGGCTAACTATCTTTATGGGGTTCTATTTGGATCAAAGACCTTGATCAGGTTCAAGCTCAATTTTTGGCAACAACACTTTGTAGACGATGTTAGGCTCTCCTTTACACTATGTCAGAAAGTTGATTAGTTCTTTTTTCTGAGGTTAACATTGTTGGTGGGCTTGAAGTTCTCAGCCTAATGCGTTCTTCATCAGTTCTTCTTCTAATGGTCTTATCAGCCTTTGATTATTATTTCCTAGATATATTATTTCATTTGGAGCTGCAAAATGGTGATTTTCTAATACTATCATTCCTCATGCATCTACTAACTGGAATTCTTTTATGAAAAAGGGTTTTCCACCATTAACTGTTTGGTTACCCAGGAACAGTAGTGAAAACCTTTGTTCTTTTCCTTACCAGTTTTCAGAATAATAAATCCATGCTTTCACAATTTGTTGAACAACTTTGGATATTATAAAACTTTTTACAATCTAACTTCTGTCATTTACTAGCAGAGTAAGCTTGGGCAGGTCACTTAGCTGTTGGGAGCATAAGTTGACTTACCTACAAAGTGGGAATTACTTTTTTCTGCTCCACACAGTTATAATAGATCTATATGATATGGGCTTAATACTACAAATTTAAATGAGATTTCAATGAAATATTACAGAAATAAATGAGGGAAACACTGCTGTTGAGAATGATAATAAGGTAAATGAGAGGAGATGGAAGGGGAGAGGAAAGTAATGGGGGAGGGTAAATAATGAGAAAGATGAAGGAGATGATGGAGGAGATGATAAAGGAGATGATGGAGGAGATGAAGGAGATGATGGAGGAGATGAAGGAGATGATGGAGGAGATGATGGAGGAGATGAAGGAGATGATGGAGGAGATGATGGAGATGATAGAGGAGATGATGGAGGAGATGGTGGAGGAGATGATGGAGGAGATCTGTCTCTCCCAACACAATTGAGCTGCTTCTCCTGGGGTTTCACTCAAGACCCCTCAGCCCTCTGCCTTTGTGGTCCCATCTGCCTCAATGTTCCCATCAAAAAATAGTGTTCTTATTTCCACAGGGATCCTGTACGTCAACAGGAGCCTGGACTTTGAGACAAGCCCCAAGTACTTCCTGTCCATCGAGTGCAGCCGGAAAGGCTCTTCCTCCATCAGTGACATGACCACCATTGTGGTCAACATCACTGATATCAACGAACACCGGCCCAGATTCCCGCAGGCTCTGTACAGCACGAGGGTGTTAGAGAATGCCGTCGTGGGTAAAGTTGTGCTCACAGTAAGAATCTGCAGTTTTTCCCTTTGGGGGGCATGGACTCTGGGGTGGATTCTTATCTCCCCCTCCCCCAGTCACCTATGAGCATGGACGGGTTTATCAATTAATACATTATAGACTTGACTCTGACTTGTAGCCACTCAACCAAACTGTCTCTCATGACAGAATATCTCAGCACATGTTTGATAAGATCTAGATTAAGTACCAATAGAATGGGGCATGGGAGAGGCCCCAGAAGATTGCTAGAGGCTCCAAAGCCTGGAAGAGGCCTGGTCACAATGCATGGAATGTCAGTGTGGGAGGCGAGGGAGGCAGGGACAGTAAATAACACCTCTTTGCATTTGAACATGTAATTGCTCCCAAGTGCACGGAGGGCAATTCTGTATACCCATCTTCATTCTGCCATCCACCCCCTGACATGCATCCTATGCTCCAGCCACACAGGAAGATGTGCCTTTCCCCAGACGTCCTCTGTACTTTTACACCTCTGGGCTCACAGTGTTTCCTCTGCCTGGAATATGGGCTCAACTCCCAGAAGCCCTTCTTATCCTTCAAGGCCTCATGAGTCCTTTTCTAATCTCCCCAACTGGAATTTATCACCGCATTTCCTGTGTCCTCATAAAGCTGATCTACTTTGCTGCCAAAATAGAAATACCCATAAAATTAGACGTTCAGCTTCCTGTGGGCATATTCATTTTGCCACATTCCTCTCCTCCTACCACAGGACTTAGCATCCTGTCAGTGTGAGTCAGTGAGCAAATGAATGAATGAATGAATGGATATGTGAATAAACCATGGCATGCTCAAGTCCGTACTAGGATATGAATGAACAGATTCCTTTGGCAAAGATGACTGTGGGCCAGTCGCTGGGGTGGGGACATATCTGTGCCCCCACCTTCTCAGAGGCCAAGATTCCTTTCCGATCCTGCTTGCTCCTCCACTCACAACCATCACTCCCTCCACTGCAGCTGTCAGCTACTGATGAAGATGGACCCCTAAATAGTGACATCACATACAGCCTGGTAGGAGGGAACCAGCTTGGGCACTTCTACATTCACCCCAAGAAGGGGGAGCTGCAGGTGGCCAAGGCCCTGGATTGGGAACAGGTGAGTCATGTGGGAGGGGCCCCGTCTGAGCTCATCAGAGCAGAATATAGCCCCACTGCAGGTCCAAAGGATGGACTGTGCTCAGCACCCCCATCCTGATCCTTCTCCAGACCTGCCCTCAGTCTCTCCAACCTGTTCTCTCCGTGGGGCCTCTGTGGCCTGTGCGGCCAGAGGCAGGAGAAGAGCTGAGTGACCTTTCATGTTCCGTGGGGGAGCTCAGGCCAGCTTCTCACTATTGACCCGAGATCATTAGATCTTTATAACAAGTTATCATTTATTGAGCACCTGCTCTGTGCCAGGAACTTTGCTAAGTGCTTTACATACATGATGCCATTTGGTCCTTAAAATAATCTTGGGAGGTGGGTCCTGATATCCTCATAGAAGTTTAGTCACTTTCCCAAGGTCTCACAGCTAATACATGGTTGAATTGGAAATCAAACCTATTTCTGAACTCTAGAACCTGGGCCCTAAAAATGCTATAGTTGGACAATGGGGGAGGGCATATGGGAGTGTCTCCATCTCATTTTTCTGAAAACATTCGAGATGAATCAGAGGGAAGAATGGAGAGGTCTCACTGCTAACTCCCTCCTGGGCATCTTGCTGTAGACTTCCAGCTATTCCCTGAGGCTCCGAGCCACAGACAGCGGGCAGCCCCCCCTGCACGATGACACTGACATCGCTGTCCATGTGATTGATGTGAATGATAACCCACCGAGATTCTTCCAGCTCAATTACAGCACCTCTGTCCAGGTACGCATGAGCTTCCAAAGGTATCATGAACCCATTGATTGCCCTCCTGGTGGAGGCTGCTCACCACTGGCATCAGTCCACCTGAATGGTGGCTGTGACCTTGCACTGGTCTAGACTGACAAAGTCAACAACTACCTCACGGGCAGGCAGAAGGAATGAATGCCAGCTCAAGGTGAAGGCATGGCCTGGGAGCAGCCGGGGTGCCGAGGACTCATCCCAGAGAAGGGGATCCAGAAAGAAGTGAGAGGAAGAACTGGGTCTCATTGTGCTCTTTGATTTCCTGTCACTCTCGGTCTCAGGAGAACGCCCCCATCGGCAGCCAAGTCCTGCAGCTGATCCTGAGTGACCCAGACTCCCCAGAGAATGGCCCTCCCTACTCATTTCAAATCACCAAGGGGAACGATGGCTCTGCCTTCCGAGTGACCCCAGATGGATGGCTGGTGACCACCATGGGCCTGAGCAGGAGAGCCCAGGAATGGTATCAGCTTCAGATTGAGGTGAGAGTTGTGTTGGGCCACTAGTGGTAACCATGGGAACGGTAAATGTGCGGGCAATAGCACTATCACTATGTCTAGTATTAGAAAAAAATGTTCAGAGCCCTTACTGTGTGCCAGGCACTGGGCTAAGTGATGACATGCGTCATCGCATGAAATCCTCACAGCACGCTTTAGAGCAGGTACAGTTATCACCCCCACTTGACAGATGTGATAACTGAGGCGCACAGAGGTTAAGCGACTGGCTCAAAGTAATATTACTAGTAAGTGGCAGAGGTGGGTTGCTTTAAACCAAGCACTCTGACCCCAGGACCCAGGCAGAACACCCTCACACTGGCTGTAACTTCTTGAGTTGGGTCAGGACAGTTCTCTGAAGCTGAGATCTTGTTAAAGGCCTACCCCACCCCAGAGAATTGGTGTGGGGTCAAATGAGACAACAGATATATGAATACACACGTAGGGGATTATGGTGGTATTGTTATGGGTTGTATGAGAATTGCCCAATGAAAGTGGCCAAGGTGGTGGTCAAACATTTCTCCCTCATTTCATCCACTCCCGCCCCCAAATCCCTTTCCTAAATATCAAGTCTAGTGAACTCTGATAGTCTGTGAACTTCTCTGAGCTCAGGGTGATGTATTCATCCATTCAGCCAGCCAGCTAGTCATTCATTCATTCAGTTTTTCAACAAATATTTGTTGAGCACCTATCATATGCTGAGCCCTATGCTGGCTTCTAGTGATACGGTAGACAGAAAGAAGGGGATAGTTCCTGTCCTCATGGGTTTTTTATTCTAATTATGGAGATAAACAATAGGCAGATGAAGAAAGAAAGTGACAAGAGGCTCAAAAGGCATGGGGGAGATATATATTCAGAGGGCAGCTGCCCTCATGAAGAGAGGATATTTTGAGTGGAGACCCGAGAAGCCAGCCATGTGAAAAATGGGTAGGAGAGTGTCACAGGCAGGGAGAACAAAATGAGCCAAAGGCCCAGGCTGCAAAAGAGTTGGAAGTGATCTGAGATGTGGCCAACATGGTCACGGCACGGTGAGCAATGGTGGGAATAACGCTGAAAAGATGGGCTGGGCATGGAGGCCTCATGGCTTCAGTGACTATATTATTTGAAGTCCTAACTGTGATGCTCTTGAGAGTGAGAGAGACACTAAAAATAGTTAATAGGTGATAATTAATCCACAGCAGGTAATAATGAAGGCTGTCCTGGGGAAACCAGGAAGTATAGTCATCCTAATTATAAGCCATGGTAATACTTTTACATTCGAATCTAAGTGCAATGAGAAGTGGTTGAAGGGTTGCAAACAGGGAAGTGACCATTCTTGTGCCTCAGAAGGCTCCGTTTTGAATCTCTAGAGAGAGCGAACGGAGGGGGCAAGAGTGGTTGAGGAGCAACAGGGACAAGTCATCCAAACTGGAGATAGTCCCTGGGACCTCGAGGTGATGGTGAAGATGCAAGAAGTGGACAGATTTGGGACACGCTTTGCATGGAAATGAACACGAGTTACTGATGGATTGGATATGGGGGAGAGAGAAAAGAGAAGCATCAGGGATGATTCCTAGTTACCTGGCTCTAGTGAAAACGGGGGGCGAGGGGGTTGGGCCATTTATGAGGCGGGAAAGGCTGTGGGGTGGGAGAAGTACAGGTCTACAGGGTAAAAGGAAGGCTCTGTTTTGCACAAGTTACCTTTCAGGTGTCCACGAGATATCTAAGTGGAGGTGTGCAATAGGCAGTTGAGAGTGGGAGTCTGCAGATCAGAGGACAGGTGTGGGCTAATGTAGAGGCGCCTCAATGCCAAGGGCATGGATGTGATGGCCAAGAGAGAGAAGAGATAGAACAGCTTCCTGACCTCTGTATCCTGGCCCAGACAATCAGTAACTATTGACATCATCATCGTGTCTTTTAACTTGACCTGCATGTCCACTTCCGTTCACTGGGAGGTACTATAAGCCAGCCGAGAAACAGGCTACGGATACAGGTAGGAGTTCAGATTCTGCTCTGGCCTTACCTGCTGTACGATCTTGGGCGAGTTACTCGACCTCTTTGGGCCTCGGTTATATCTTTTGTAAAATGGTAGACTTCATGGTACCTATCGCATAAGGACAAACTACGATCATGCGTTTAAGGCATTTAAAGTACACAGTTTGTACCCAGTTAATGTTAGTTATGTAGTAGACTTAATAGTAGTATTAATTATTGTTGTTGCTATCGATATTTCATCAGTGTTATGCACAATTCCCAGCAGTAGGTGTAATTTTACAACTTGCTCACCCATTCAAAGTACTGGATACAAGATATTACTTTCAGGAAAGTTTTGGAGGCCCTTGTTGACAGCTGAGAAAGTGATAACGTCACCGAGGAGAGAAAGGAAAGCTTCGTCCTTGCTAAGCCTGGGCAGCAAGTTGCAGGGACAGCTTGGTAAAATGTGAAAGGAAAATGAATTTTTAATTTACCTTCTTTTCCTTGTTTAAATGAGGTCATGTCGCTGCCTTGCTTAAAGCCTTCAATGGCTTTTCATGGCTCTGACATAAAATGCAACCTTGGGCTTCTCTGCCCATCATTGATGGGGTCCCTGCTTCCCTCTCCCTCACTTCCGGTCCTCTGCCCTGCCTCCTCCAGAAACATGGCCCCTTCCTGTTTTGTTGAGCACACCACATTCTTTCCCACCTGAAGGCTGATCCCTGTCGGTCACCTCTTGTCCTCACCTCTTCACATCCCTCAGGACTCAGCTCAAGAGTCCTCTCCTCACAGATGCCTTCCCTCCCGCCTGATCTAAGTTAAGTCTGTCACTCTTCCGATCTCTCTGTCACATCACTCTGATTGCTTCTGCCCTAGCACTTTGTCCAAGTCTGACATTCTCTGGTTTAGTTAGCAACTTATTGTCTCTGTTCTCCCGATCATAGCCCAGGGCCTGGCCCGTGGAAGGCACCCAATAAATCTTTACTGTCTGAGCTAAAGAAGAAATGCCAGCCCCCACCCTGAGCCCAATTACAGGGTGAAGGGAAATCCCAAAGAGAACCTCCTTAGGCTGTCAGGGGCCATGTAGGACACACGTTGGAATCACTAAGAGACATTTGATGACTCACTTAAGGAAAGAGAGACGTTCAAGAGGAAGGAGGCCTGATCGTTTAGCTGGAGGGATTTAGGGAGAGGCTGAGAGAGATGTAAAATGAGGATATTGAGTGAAGTTTTACCATGTGGTAATGCCCTCCACAAAACCTTCAGTGCTTCTGGAGTTATTATTTTCTTTCTCAAAAGTGATGACATGCTAAACCTGCTCTCAAGCAGAGCGATGTGGCTCCCCAAGGGGGGCAGCCTCCTCTGGGCCACAGACAGCTCAATCCTATGGTAACGCAGTGCTTGTCGTGTCCACAGGTGTCCGACAGTGGCATCCCTCCCCTCTCATCTTCCACGTCCGTCAGAGTCCATGTCACAGAGCAGAGCCACTACCCACCCTCCGCCCTCCCACTGGAGGTCTTCATCACCATCGGGGAGGAGGAGTTCCAGGGTGGCATGGTGGGCAAAATCCATGCTACAGACCGAGACCCACAGGACACGCTGACCTACAGCCTGGCAGAGGAGGGGACCCTGGGCAGGCACTTCTCAGTGGGCACATCGGATGGCAAGATTATCGCCGCCCAGGGACTGCCTCGTGGCCGCTACACATTCAATGTCACCGTCAGCGATGGGACCTTCACCACCACTGCCGGGGTCCACGTCCATGTGTGGCACGTGGGGCGGGAGGCTCTGCAGCAGAGCGTGCGGATGGGCTTCCATCAGCTCACCCCAGAGGAGCTGGTGAGTGACCACTGGAGGAACCTGCAGAGGTTCCTCAGCAACAAGCTGGACATCAAACGAGCCAACATCCACCTGGCCAGCCTTCAGCCTACAGAGGCCATGGCTGGGGTGGATGTGCTCCTGGTCTTTGAGGGGCATTCCAGAACCTTCCACAAGATGCAGGAGCTGGCCACCATCATCACTCACTCAGCCAAGGAGATGGAGCACTCGGTGGGAATTCAGATGAGGTCAGCCATGCCTGTGGTGCCCTGCCATGGGCCAAGCTGCCTGGGTCAGATCTGCCAAGAGACAGTACGGCTGGGCCCCAGGGTCGGGCCCACGTACAGCACAGCCAGGCTCAGCATCCTGACCCCGCGGCACCACCTGGAGAGGAACTGCTCCTGCAATGGTGAGAAGTGGGCCTTCCCCAGCACGACCACCACTGTGAGCTCAGCCAGCCTGACTCTAGGGAGGGGGATCCCAGGGAGGCTCTGTAGGGTAGTTGGAGGGAGGTCTGAACAGGGCCAGGGACCATCATGGGGCAGGTGTGGCCTCACAACATCTAGTCACAGAAGAGCACCCGATGCCTGGCCACTTTTTGGAATTTTGAAAATAACAGTAAGAACACAAGAGGCAGCACAGCATCACGGCCAGGAGTGTGGACTCTGACAGCAAGCTGCCTGGGTTCCAGTCTCAGCTCTGCCACGTGCTAGCCACATGACTGTAGGAAAATTATTTAACTCCTCTGTGCCTTGGAGCTGTTGTAGGGATTAAACGGGTATTAAATATCAAGGGCTTCCTTAGGAAAGTGCCTGATATAGCAAGTGGTCAATAAACAAGAATTAGTAATACACCCACTATTATTACTATAGCCTGGTGGTTGGTTATACCTTCAAGGTTTAGACTAGACAGCTCAGGTCTGAACCCCGGCTCTATCACTTACTAGCTGTGTGACCTTGGGTGGGTTATTAAAATCCTCTGGGCTTTGGTTTCTCACCCATAAAATAACGAAAATATTATCATTTGCTTCCCTGAGTTGGTTTGGGGAGTGAATTACTGAATGGATATAAAAGCACTTCACCTCTGGCTGCCCATAATAAGCACCCCATCAATGGTGGCTGTCATTTACATGGTAGCCATTGCTGCTGTGAGGACCCTGCTCTGTGCCCGGCTCTGCGTTTGTTACCTAAACTCATTGTCACCACAACCTCATGGAGCAGGGTCACAGCTCCACCTACAGTTGAAACGGAGGCATGAGGGTTAGCATGTATTGGTTTGCCTGCAACTTGACAGCCTCCAGGGAAGGGCTGGTTATTCAAATACCTGTGGTCCCACTCTTAAAGCCTGAGCTCTTCGGGAGCTCAGTTTTCTGATAGGATTCACCCCAGCACCCCTGGCATTGAGACCAATGCACTGAACCAGCTCATGAGCGCTGGCACAAAGAGAATAACCTCGCCTCCAGCTCACCATCGCCCCCTGCCTGGCATGGCCTACCCTTTACTGGTCTACCGGGTTGGCACTAGGGAAATTTTCTTGGATTTGTGGACTTTCTGGGGGGCAGGGGGACACTGGGCTTACTACTCCTGTGGGGGTGGGGGCACGGGTTTCCCTTCTTGTATCTCATGCCCCAGAGGCGGCTGCAGGGAAAGCTGTGGTTGCTGAAGGTTCTCTCTTGACCACCTGGCATTGGACAACAGTTTCTAAAATTCAAGATTGTTCAAAATCACCCGGGGACTGTGTTTTTCAAGGGACCTGCTCCTGGGTGTCACCTCCAGAGTTTTTTATTTAGAAGGTATGGGGTGAGGCCTGGACTTGGCCTTTGTAACCAGCACCTCAGGCGATTCTGAAGCAGGTGGTCCAAGGGCTGCACTAGAAATACTAGATGGGCTGGCTCAGTGATCGCCAGAACCACTTGGAAAGACGTTTGGATTAAAAAAAAAAATTTAGTGAAATAGGACACACAGAAAGAGCCATGTAGCGTAAGTCTACAGCTCAACAAGTTTTTGCAAACCAATTACACTGGTGTAACCAGAACCTAGATTAATTAAGGATCCAAACATGACCAAGCATCTCAGAAGCCTCCCTTGGGTTCCCTTCCAGTCACGACACCCATCGTGGGGAGAGTCTTAATTAAAATACAGATCCCCATGTGCCACCAGAACTACCGAGCCATAGTCTCTGAGGGTAGAGCCTGACATTCGGGATTTGAAAAGACTCTCCAGGGAATTCCTGGTCTAGATCACCTTCAATATCCCATCCAATAACGAGCTACTACAGTGGGATTGCCAGTGTCAGAGAGTGTCAAGATCTATGGTATGACAAGCCTCTCAGGATGTTATAATCCCACGTGCCTCAGGCTTTCTGGCCCTTCCTTCTCCTCCTTTTGGCCTTGTTCCCTCTCTCCAAGGATTCTTCTTCCCTGGGTCTCTGGGGCCTGTACCACTAATCCTTTCCCAGGGCAACTATAAGCTTATTCACAGGGATTTAATAGCTGACCTTACCTCTGGGAAGGGTGGATTTTTAAAAATCTGGGGAGGGCAGCCTTCATGTAACAGCATTTCCCAGAAAGGACTTCCACAGAATGCTATTTGAAGGGCTATGAATAGGTGGTCCACACGAAAGGGTCCCATGTTCACATAAGCTTGAGAAATTCAAGGTTAGGTGAAGTCTCAGCCCCCTTATGCGAGTGCACATTAGCAGTTCTGCAGGGGTTGGAGTATGCGGGCTTTACAGATGTTTTGGCCACAAGATCCATCACTACCCCCTCTTTTATCTTTTGGCCTCTCAGCAGCATTTCATTTGGGAAGTGCTTACCCTAATGATGACACGCCTAATGATAAAGGAGTTTCTTGGGGAGGGGGACACACATCCTTGTGGTGTCCCTGAAATCACACATGTATGCAAAATCCTCTTCCATTCTATCTCCTTATTCTCCAAGTGATGTCAGAAATACATGGAAACATGCAGGACAGGAATTTTGATTTTCACATATTTGATGGATTACATTTTTTACTTGATTTCCTACTTTCTTAATGGTTTGAACTCATTGTTTGTGGCCCAGGTTGGGACCCAAGGCAAGGGTCCCTGGGGCGAAAGGAAGGCGTGCAGGGTGACGGCCCGGCCAGCTGTGTGACGCTGGACAAGTAACCCCCCAGCCTCGTTTCTTCATCTATAAAATGAGCAATGACTCTGCTTGCCACCCAAGGGTTGAACGGGACAAAGTCAGTTCGAGGGCTCTGTGGGGACCACTTCACATGGAGGTGACCCCTCTGGTTGTTTTCACAGGTACGGCCGCAAGGTTCAGCGGTCAGAGCTTCGGGCGGTACAGTCTCCCAGAGGCTCAGAACTGGCACATCCTCTTCCGTCTGAAAACACTCCAGTCACAGGCCGTTCTCCTATTCAGCAATGCGACAGTGTGTATCGCCCTGAAGGTAAGGCACTGCCGGCCTGAGAAGTTTCATGTGAGCGTGCCAGGCTGAGACAGTGGGGGCAGCATGAGCATGATCAAGAAGGCCAGTTTGTATAAAGAAATCTGTGCATGGTTTTCAGGGATGCTGGGCATCACTGTTGGGTCAGCACACAAGACTTTCCAGCCCTGAAGGCCAAAGCCACCCCACCTAAACTTACATGTTCAAGTACAACAATAAGAGAGAGTCTCTGAAGATAGAAAGAGAGCTGGGTGAGGCCACCTAACCCTGGTGCTTTTATCACTTCTGCTGAGTAATAGAACAGTGTTTTACAAGGTGGGGGGAGGGGAGGAGTGCTGGCTACCACTGGGGTGCTCAAGATGACAAATTCAGCACTAAGCTACATGGAAGAAAATGAGGAAGGGAAAGGTGTGTGATCCAGGACTTAAGGTGGAGAGACTGGCTTTCACCAAGGTGGACAGACATGGGTATGAGAGCGCCTCCAAGTTCCCATCTGACTGCTGAGAGTGATGATCGGGAGGGAGGCATTATGGGTCTGAGGAGACAGAAGTTGTGGAAGTAGTTATCTGGAAGAGTGAATGAACTGAGGAAGATAGTACAAGTGTTAGGCATCATGGAGGGCTCATTTTAGACTCATGCTCATGAAATTAAAAGGAGACCAATATGCAAGGCTGCGTGTTTCTCTCCAGGCATGTTCAGCTCCATCGTATACATACAGAGTAGGGGGAGAGTGGGTTTTACCAGATCGGTGGGTTTGCCAAGTGAGTTCTACCACATAAGAGAGGGATAGGAATTTGGCTATGGAATTTCAGCTGGATAAGGAGAGGAGTGAGGACATTGCTGAGGAGGTGAGAGACAGTGAAAAGATGGTGGGTTCAATCAACAGGTTTGTGGTCCTGGGTTAAGTCAGAGGAGTGATTTAAGGACAGTGTCTTGGGTTGTACTTACTTTTGTCATTCTTTTTTCTTAATGGCAAAATACATTGTTTTTCTATTTACTGTATAATAGTAAGTTTCCTTTTAAAGTAAATGACAATAGAGGTAGTATTGAACCAGGGCAAAAATCGGGAAGGTGGTATACAAATCGCTAATTCCTGATAAACCGTGGGTTGGATCTTCACATTTCATGCAGAGAAAGCTCTACCTAGCCCAGAGTGACCAAAAAAATATTTGACCACAAGTAGTCCTACTTTTTGGGGTGAGGTGAACTAAAATGTTTTAACTCAGTGGTTCTCACACTTTTTGATTTTAGGACTTTTTGACTGTCTTAAAAATGATGGAAGATCCGAAGGAAGTTTGGTGTATACTGGATTATAGCTATGGACATTTTCAGTATTAGAATCTAAAACTGGCAAATGTTAAAATCTTTGTGAATTCATTTAAAAATAATAAGAAACCAATAGCATGCTAACATAAATACCATATTTTTTATGAAAAATAATTACATTTTCCAAAATAAGAAAAGAGAGGCATTGTTTTACACTTTTGCAAATCTCTCTCATGTCTGGCTTAATAGAAGACAGCGGGCTTTTCATATCTAATTCTGCCCTCATCTGCTGAACTGCTGAAGAAGGGAATGGGAGTCAGAGGGAGGTTTTTGGTATCCTTGAAGGCCAGTGTTCAGGAATGTAGAACACTTGAGAGGCCTGTGAAGAAGAATCCTAAAGACAGCAAGGCATCTCTGGGCCTTGGTTTCCTCATCTGTGAAATGAAAATGTCATCCCTGCTCAGACCATCCCGTGAAGTATGGGGAGGGCCAAATGAGACCATAGACAGAAGAGCACTTGGAAGGCTTTTATGCTCTACAGACACAATGTCTAAAACAGCCCTGAAAATCTCCAAACACTAGCCCTCTCACCCATGAAAATGTCACCAACATTCTTTGCCCTGCCAGCCTATTAGCAGGGCTTTTTATAAGGCGTCCTGGCTTTGCTGATGGCCATCTGGGTTTTCTTTGCAGCTGGTCAATGGAGTGCTCCAACTGGAATACCGCTGCCCAGGTGGTTTCTACGGAACGCTTTCCTCCCGGCTTCACGTGGATGACCAAGAGTGGCACTCCATTCTGCTGAAGGAGACGGACACTTCCCTTCTCCTGTTGGTTGACAGCGCAGGCAACGGCTCCCTGGTGCTCCCAGAGACCTGCCAGGGTTTGAGGCCTGAAAGAGACCTCTTTCTGGGTGGCCTTGTCCTCTCGCATTCTCCCCCAAATGTCTCCCAGGGCTTCGAAGGTTGCTTGGATGCCATCACAATCAACGGAGAGGCCCTGGAGCTGCTGGCCCATGGCAGGAAGGCGGCAGGCTTGCTGGAGAGGCAGGCCCTCACCCAGTGCTGCTTCCACAGTGACGAATGCAGCCAGAACCCGTGTCTCAATGGTGGGAAGTGTTCACAGGCCCACGGGAAAGGTAAGGGCTGAGGGGTGATGCCAAGGCTCATTCCAGGAAGCTCTTCAGAGAACCCTGGAATGTTGGACTAGCCATCAGATATCACTATCGAGTTGACAAAGTATATTCTTTCACTACAGCCCCACAAGGGAGGGAAGAAGGGAAGAGAGCCATTAATAGCTCCATTTTACAGCTTGGGAAACTGCTGGGCTATGTAACGGAAACCCAGAGAGGTAAAGGAACTCGCTCAGGGTTACACAGGGGTTAAGTGAGAGAGGCTTGTTCGGGGTCCAGATCTCGATGAAGCAGTCTGCCTCCTGATTCCAAATGTCCCTCTCTTTTCTTACTGCCTGGTGAGTAATGGGCTGGGATCTGCTAGGTCTACACTAGGGGAAGCCAGGAGTCTTCATTCTTCCCCAGTAAGAAATTTTTTTTCTTTTTTTTTTTTTTTTGGATGGTGACCTCTGGTATACAAGGTTGTGTTCATCACCATCTTCGGGTCACCATTGGTCCATGCAAAGTTTCTCTTTCTTATTCCTCTTTAATCTTGTTCCACTGCCATCCCTCTTCCCCTAAAAACTTTAAGTAAAGACTTAAAGTTTTTAAATGAGTTCTTGCAAAATGTATATTACTGTTTTTCACATGCTTGAACTTCTAATTTATATACGTGATATATCATCTTTTACACTTCTCCATCCACACTGTCACAAGTAATTCTTATTCATTGCTTTTAACTGCAGCTCAATACTCCAAGATGTGCACGCACTCACATTATCCCTCTCCACTCTCCCAGCAATGGACACGCTAGGGGCTTCAAAATCCCACCTCCAACAGCAATGCTGCAGTGAGCATCCTCATACATGCCTTCTTATGAACCTGTGTGAGAACCTCCTTCACACACACACACACACACACACACACACACACGCGATATCTAGGGATGGACTTCACATACCCAGTATGCAAATAATTATTTTGACTAAATAGAGTCAAGTTAGTCTCCAGCATGCCGGCAGCAGTCTGTACACCCACCAGCAGTACACGAGATTCCTACATCCCAGTCAACAGTTGGCATTATCCCGTTTTCTAATTTTTGTGTGGCTAATAGTACTGTCATTTCCACCTGCAAAATATCCAGGGAGTCCATCGCTTCTCTCTGTCCCCACTGCCATGAGTCTGACTCGAGCCCGTCATCTCTCACCTTTTCTACTACAGCAGCCACCTCCCTTCTGCTTCTTTCCCTGCACCTGCACCTTCTGGGAGGGGCGCCAGAGTGATCTTTATACAGCGTAGAGTAGATCGAGCTTTCCTGCTTAGAACCTTGCAGTGGCTTCCCTTGCTGTTTGGATAGAGTCCCAATTCCTAATTCCTGCAGATGGC